CTCTCTCTCTCAACCCCCCTCCCTTCCCACCCCCCTCTTTTTAATAAGAATTTTTTCCATGTGGTTAGAGAAATAACATCTGGAATTACTGAAGGCTGCCAAAAAGAGAGAATGAAAACAATGAGTTGAGTCACACTTAAACCTGCCAAGTTCATTTAATTTAGACCTTCTTGGGGTGCTTTGAAAAGAAAAAAAAAATATGGAAAATGTTTTAGTTTGCTTTTTATAATGCAACTTTTTTTTTTTTAATCTGCTGATGTAAGTTGCAGAGTCAGCCTAGACACAGCACCATAGCATAGGCATTCATCCTTGCAGCACACTGGTATTAAAATCTCTGTAATTCATCTGCACGTATGCAGCATCATATCCAGGTATCACTTTCTGAGCAGAGTCCCACCGAGCTAATGAAATTGCTCCCAGGAGCAGACATGGAGCTGCACTAGACCTTTTAATTCCATCTCACAGTGCAGTGCAGAATAACATGGAAACTTCCTAAACTTCCCTTTTCCTCACCAATGAACAACACTGCTGAGTAAGTGCTGAAGAAGCACAAAACACCCTAATGTGGTAAAATTTAAGATCGCAAGCTGTAGCAATGCGATCCTCTTTCCTCAGTAAAAGATCAGTTCCTGCATGATTGCCCCAGCCCCATTCAAGGACACTATGCTTCTCTGCATAGTGTGGCAAAGGCCTGTAAGTGTTTCCATGTTCTGAATTTTTTATGTCTTTTTGCCTTCAACAGTTAAGTTATGCTAGGGCATGGTTGGTATGTCCACTGAAGGTGGTGATTACAATGCCATACAGATACACAGAGCAGGTTAACTTTTAATGAAATAGGGTACTCAGACAATAGGAACTGCCAGCAAAATATTCCATGGAGAAGTCACAAATAGGAACCACGCCAAGCAGTCTGAGCAGTTTTCCATGGGATTTATATGCAAACATATGTGCGTCAGGTGGAGGAAGAAAAGAGCAAAGCTGGAGGCTGCATGCTGTCTGCTGGAGCCTTGCACATGTGAGGGAAGACCAGCAAAGCACAGTAATCAATAGACAACAGAGCGGGAAGCAATTGTGGCAACACTTCGGGAAACATCTGACAGAGACCTCTGCACAACAGGCTCAGCTAGAAAGAAGGGTGAGCCAGGAAACTTCCTCCTGCTGGTGGGTATGCAATATATTCAGGGATTTGTAGGTGCTGTTTGTAAACTGCCTGAACCCGGGATATACCCAACTACATCCTCCATCATTCCTCCTTAAAGAAACCACTCAAAAGGCTTTTAGCTCTCTCAAACCGCTAGGTCAAGCAGGCTTGCACGGTTTGTATCCCTAAAAAATATGTGCAATTATGATCACTCCATTACAGTATATCTGTATCATCTGACACTGGGGTAATGGTGACTCAAAGCTGTATGACCACAGGAGATGCTACACTCTCCTCATAAGGGTAGCTGTAGTAGAAACTTCTAATGCTTTTACAAGGGTACTTTTACAGGCGTTTCAAAAGGCCCTTAGGAACGAACAGCCATACTAGCATTCATCCTGACATCACCCCTTTCTGACATTACCTTACCACTACTCCCGCAGGAGGAGTGCACAATGAAATAGCTTTCATAGCAGTGTCCCAGCAAGATAATTCCACCATGGCTTCAGCAGCCCGTTACTAGCTCAGGCAGAAGGTGTCTGCTCTCCTCCCTTCACTTCACAAAAGTTGCTATTTCATCAGGCTATGACAAACCGCCTTCCACACGGCTATCAGAGCTCCTTTCCCCCAGTGCCAAGCTCCTGGAAATTCTTATCGAGCTTGCCCACTTCATTGTTCCACGCTATCATGGGTTATCAGAGGAGTCACTTCACATTTAGCACACGTGGACTTTTTTTCTTTTTCACTAAGTCACTTGGCAGCAGTTCCAGCCACTCTCCTTGCCTCAAAGGCTTTGAACAATCCTACCAAGATGGCTGGGCAGTGAGAGATGTATTAAGGAGACTACCTCACGTGGGCATACCTTTGTTCCAGGATAAGGCTCACAGTTTAGTTAAAAAGCCTTCATAAATAGTAAGCTAAAATAACCCCAGCTTCATACCAAAACAGGAGTGTCTACAAGATGTGGCTACACTGATTTAATTTTACTGTTTTCAATTCACTCCTTATCTTATACCAAGAGCTTTCCCATTTAGACAAAGTGTTGGCCTGCTAAATGGTAGTTAACCACCCACTATTTTGTACTTATTAACTTGCTGTCATTTAACATAAAATGTTTAGGCAAACCATGAGAGAGATCAGAATTCTGATCCTCATATTAAAAAGAAAAGGGCTCCGGGCATTAGATTGTGAAATATGATTTCCCAGGATAGATTAAATTCTGGATTAATGCTCTTTTTGATATCACAGAAAATCAAACCTCATTTCATAAGGGGGCACTTCAACATGCTTCGCATTCAGCGTGCTTTCCCTTGATAAAGACTCTGAGCTGCAGCAAACTTGGAATTTGATCAGAACCTCTGGAGCAGCAGCCAGCGGTGGGAGTGGAGAAGAGCAAAATCCACACCACGAACCTCATCTCACAGGAGTTCCTTGCATAGTTTTTCAGCAAACACAAACAAGAGGAATGAGCCAAGGGGCTCGGCAGAAAGCATCACAGACTTGAATTGTGCTGCAGGACAAACAGACAGCAGATGCAGAGTCTGGCTCATGCAGCAATGCCAAGTACAGCATACCCCACGTTTGTATCCGCATGTTGACTACGTTTCTGCAAGAGCCGTGGCAGAACGACAGAGAGAAGCATGCATTTAGGACCATCTGTAACCAAGAGGGTGCTGAGGCCTGAACTTCTTCACATGGTAACTGTGTCTAATTATAGAAGAACTAAAGAGTCTAACTAAAGAGTCTAACTATAGAAGAACGGTTGAGAAACTTATGACCTAACCCAGGCTGCCATGTATCTGCCATGCCTCAGAGCTTCTCACAGCAGTGCAGTTTCAGGGGGGAAGTTCTCCTCTTTCCTCATGAGCTTGCATAATTCCTTCATACGTTCCCTTACCTTTTGCATACTTTAATAAGAACCAGTGAGTTGAAACATGAAAGCACCATTGTTTACAAGAAAACCTACCGTGATTGATGGCATTACAGGAAATCAGCAGGAGACTGCAGAGTAGGAAAGTTTGGAATAAAATGGAAGGAGTACCCTGGAAATCTGGGAATGGACCATTTACCACAAGACACCACCTACCACTCCCAAGTTCTCTTCCTTCCCTGCTTGGGTACGCAATTCCCTGGAAGTAGGAGATCTCTGCAACTGACAGGTGATATTCTGGATCTGGCAAAGTAGGTTTTGACCCTGCAACTTTAAAGTGAAGGTCCACCACTGCCTTTTAAATTTATTACTTCCATTGTACCTCATTCTGGACCTACTCCCTTTTATTGGGAGTAGGTTGCCAAATGTGCAGGCTGACGCAGCCATGTGTAGCACATTATACCCCCTTGGGGCCACCCTCATCTGATTGCAATTGGTGAATAACATCATTTCTAAGCCCTGTGGGCAGCCAAGCAAAGGGTAAGATAGTAAAAAGCATTTAGCTATTCTCCAACTTGCCTCAAGTCCCACCATCCTCTTCGGTACACAATGCCACACTTCACATGTGCAGATTAGTGAGATGATGCTGGCAAAACACAGTATGCTGCAGTTCTGCCAATATCTGCTATTCTTTTGTGGAAAACTTTACCATTAAGCAACTAGGTCTTGATCTAATGTGATGAGTGTGGCTGAATATTTTTTGTGCTGCTTCCAGACAGTACACTCTCAGCAGACAAAAGTGAATTTTCAGGACAATCTTAATAGCGGATCATGACTCATACGGTAAAGGAAGGTTTCCATAGCACAGCATATGAACAAATAACCGATAATGCCAGGGCATGGCTTGGCCAGAGGCAAGTAATAGTAATAGTTTACTGCACAGGACTCCAGAAGTTGTCCATGTGTCATTTGGAGCCACAGGCAGTGGCTTTGAGTAATTAATTAGCCAAAGATCCCTGTATCTCATAGATCAGTTTATATGCTGGTAAAAAAAACAAAACAAAACAAAACAAAAACTCTCACAGGCAATATAGATAAAAAGCAATAGTAAGTGATTAATTATAGTAGATTCATGTCAATTGTTATTTAATGAATTTCATTATGTTTTATAACTAATTAAGACTCTTTCATATTAATTCTTGCAAAATAAATTGCAAGCTAACTCCAACATTTTTTTTTTCTCATTCCTTCACCCTCCCACACAGTAGGTGCTTTTAAAATTTTGATTACCTTTTATCACACTTGTTTAATTTGTTATAACTCATTTTGATGGATGTCTTGTTGATGTGTTATGCAATACTTCTTTTAAAAAAATACAAAAAAGAGAAGACAAACACATGCAGTGTCGGAAAGTCACTTACAAGCAGGCACTGTTCACTTGCTTCTTCCCATATTCCATGCTTCTCCATTGCCCTTCCCCAAGACAATTTACCCTCTCTAATTAGGGGCAGAGGAGTGAGGGAAAGTAGGGATAATATTTATGAATATCTGTCAGATTCACTATTCTCTGCAAGCCTATGTTTAGTCTGAAGAAATACATTAGACAGTTCAAAAATCTGTCTCCCTTTCTTCCTTTTAGCAGTCCCCACCATTGAAAAATGAGAGCATTTTCCAGGGAAAAATCATCATCACCAATTAGAAAAGGACCGCAGCCTTGTCAACTGGGCAAACTACTCTGATATTATACTGATCTAGGAAATCACAACCTACGTGAAGGTCTTCGTTAGTGGAGCTACAAAAGCAGCCCATGTTCCCATGTAAAGAAGAAGGGTGAATTATCTATAGTAATAATTCCTGGGTTTAAGAATATATATATATATATATATTTACAGTCAATATATCTGCCAAGTCTTTCAATCCATAAACCACTTATATCATGGAAAAAAAAAAATCTTTATGTAACATTTGGTAGTGGGTAGCAATACTTACTGTTTTGTTGAAAAGTCTTCAATCTTTAAAAAAAAAAAAAAAGGAAAAAATGACTTTTTCTGTATAGACAGGTATGGCTTTGGCATAATCCTCCTATGTTCCTTTCTTAAATAATAATGCAATAGAATAGAGAGATCTAAAACTGATAGTATATAACTTCCTTTAGCACACTGTACTGATATTTGAATATCTAATTCAATTCTTTCTGTGGCAAATGAGTGTATTTTATTATGGAATGCAATGCTCTTATATGTTAGGAGCTAAAAAGAAAAAAAAAAGTGGCTTATTTCATAAAATATCTGATGTCACATTGCAATACATTCCAAAGACACAGGTGCTGAAGATGATGAAATGGAGCTATAAAATGGAAAAACTTTAGGGAATGCAGAGCTCCAATCCACTGACATTAATTTATTCATTTGAATAATTGATTTACTATACACATTGCCCAAACACACAAGCCATTAAGAAAAGTTAGAACTTAGAACTTTGGGTTTATGACTACAGCTGAAGAGTTAGAGGAACGATATCCCAATTTTTACTTTTACATGTTCTCGAGGGTATTTTTTTTCTTTTATGCACAATTACACTGTTGAGCACAGTAATTCTTACTCAGAAAATAAACATGAGGAAAAAATTAGGCCTCTTTAGAAATAAACAATGAATAGGCATATAATGCACTTGCTCTGTTTACACACGTCCTCCTGAGTGCATTAGTGAAGGACACCAAATTACAAGACGACCTAAAAAAAAAAAAAAAAGACTATTTAACAAAGAGTTAAGTGAGACATTGGAACAAACCACAAAGCTTTTAGTTCAGTTTTTGTGCACAATAGCTATTCAGAGACAGTAATAATGCAATGCAAGATAAAAAAAAAAAAGTTTGAAAAATATTCCTGCTTCTACTTAATTTCACGTAAAAACACTTTTAAAACAGCTTGCAGGTTTTACAAGCCACTGACATTATTGCTTGTCAAGACCTTCACACTAAAGAAGAGGTGTTCTGTCATGAGCTTGAGCATAAATCTAATTTAGTTACTCTGCTGTAGTGATTTTCCTGTCATTGCAGGAGTTTCTTAAAACCTTCCATGCAGACGATGGGGTGAGCCACCCAGCTTTCACTTGGGGGGTGTGGGGGGTTGTTTCGAAACAAATACATGTTTAGCCTTTGAGGTTTTGACAAATAACTGAAAAACATGAGCAAAAGTGCACCCCCATGAACCTTAAATATATTTTAAAAAAAAGAAAAAAAAAAAGAAAAAGGACTTTTTTTTTCCTCCTATTTAATTATTTGTGTGGGCTTGACAATACAAGGACATAGGGAGAAGAAATATGAGAAATATGAGTAATGTGAGAGAATTTTCCGTGTGTATAACACGGCTATAAAACAGAACCCTTCAAGCCCCATGAAGTGAAGCAAACTGAAGCTTACCTCACCCTCAGCCTGATGCTGCCTGGAGATATAACAGACAGCGGCATCCTACATCAGCCTGGCGCTGCTTCATGATTAAGCAATCCAGCCTTTTTTCATTCTTTTGCCTAAATTCTTTTCACTCTCTCCAGCAGGCAGCCCAGCTACAAGAAGCTAAAACAAAAGAACAAGGATTATAGTATTAATCCTCAGCAAATAGCCTCTAAAGCTACACGTGACCTCACGCTGAAGACATACTACAACCTGCAATAGTTTTTTCTCCATTAACCAGTACGTCACTTCCATTTACATGCAGGACAGAAGATGCTGTAATTTAAATAAATAAATAAGGCTGGGCGGATCTCTTTGTATAAGGTCCTTTCTTGTTTTCGATAAACAAATCTGTTGACTCTTGGACAATTATGGAGCTTTTCCCAAGATATTCAAAATGTTTCAATAATTACCTGTATTTCAGATAGTGTTGTATAATTATTACTAACAGGTAACTCCACATCACCAGGGGTGACAACATACAACAGTTTCTGCCTGTGAACTGTCAGATGTGTAAAGTGCAGTGTCAGGAGCTGCTTTCATAACAAGAGAAATAAGAATTGCTGTCATTATTCACTGAAATTGAAGCTCACAAACAACTTAAATGCACGGCAGTTTAAGATTCTGATCAGATGTTCCTGGACCCCAGCTTCCTCCCATATCCAGTGGGCAACACAGCCGGCCTGGCTGACAAGAACTTGGAAATATTTTGTAAAACTGATGAAAAAAGTGTCTGTGAGGGTTGAAACAGATTAGCAAGGAACTTCTAGGTGATGAATGGAGCCTGTCCCTGCAAGCATTCAAAGTTATCTTCATCTTCATGCCCACTGGGAATTGACTCACAGGTGTTTTAGGAAGAAGCAGCTGCCTACTTTGTGACATTTCAGCTTTTGCCTCCAGGTTGAGAAGGGATAAGATACACAACAGAGAGGAGACAGTCTGCTAGAGATATCAAACTGCATTTGCTACATCCAAGGTAGAGCCCGTCTGGCAAGTGAGCAGGAAGGTTTCCACATTTCAAATTCAAAAGGAGGCAGGTCCTGTCCCATTGACAAAGGGCTGAGAGTCTGAAAAGGCAAAAAGTATTTAAAGCAAATTAACGCCATTAGTTAACTTAGAGCTGCTGAAAGCTGCTTGACGTGGGCTGACTTTTCTAGAGACTGACGTCCTCTGGTTGCAGAGCAGACAAAGCAGAGAGAGGCACGGCTGGAGCCCTGGAAGGGGCGAAGGGTGGGAATGTGCACCCTCCAAATTCCTGCCCTGCATCACGTCCTGCTTGCCTCGCTCCACACCAAGCTCCTCAGCCCTTCCTCCTGCAGGGGAGGCGCTCGAGGAAATTGCTCACCAATTGATAACGCTTATCTTCTCAGTGCAATTTGAATCAATGAATTTAAATTTACATGTAATTACAGCAACAGATCAAGAAATCAATGCAATGTAAACCCATCTTTAGAGTTTGTGAGGGTTTCTAATAAACAACAGTCTGTCACCAGCAGAGTTGTAGCAGCATGTATGTAAGCAATATCACACTTCTGGTTGGAGTTTTCCTTTTTGTGAGCATAAAACAAACAAACAGGCTCACGGAGTATTTGTTAGTTAGAAGATAAGCCCCAAAGATAACAATCTCTGACGCTTTATCTCACCTTGCCCTGATTTTTGCCCCCAAACAAATTAATATAGTGTCACTCCCTCTTCTAAGAATCACTGATGATTTATAAAGTAAGAATTGTCATTATTCCTATCTGACACACAGTGAAACTGAGGTATGTGGAGGTTAACTGGGAAGAAAGAAAACCAGAAAATGAGTTTTTAAGACAGCGCTGAGCTATTGACATCCACACCTATAGTCTATTTACTGAATCCACAGTTTGCTAGTTACATGTTTTTGCTGTTTTACTGTCACCTTTACCCTAGGAACATTAGTTATCTGCAAGTCAATAACAACTCAAATCTCACATTTTTATGAAGCGGGAGGCAAAATCCATGCAAACATTTCCTCCCTTCTTTCTTTTTTTTGCATACAACTTCAAACTCCAAACTCACTTTGTGGTCCAGAACCACAATAACACCCCCTGAGGAGCACACAAGTGGAGAAGAACAAGCCTGAATGAGTGGCAGAGGGGCACGGCACGGCTCAAAGAGTGACCGCATCCATTTATGAAGGCAGCTGAGGTCGGAGCAGGCTCCGTGCCGACGTCCAGAACTACCCCCGCTAGAAACAGAGGCTGCATCGCTTCACAGCATGCAGACCTTGTTCTATCAGTGAAACTATAGTAACTACATGACCACTGGGGATTAGCCTGACCCTGGGTCATAAAACTTGATCACAGCAGATTAGCAAACGACCAGGCCAGTGAGGGATAGGAGACCTTTTTTGTTTCTTTCAAAGAGCGAGCATCACATACAAAACACTAATTCTGTTTCAAGTCAGACGTAAAACACACACATGACAAAACAAATGTGTGCTTACAAATATTTTGTCATATTAGATTAAATTATAGCGCACAGACTAAACAGAGAAATCTGAAATCCAGGGCCTTGTGTTTGGGATAGCCTCGGAGCTTTTATACAAAGAGAGAGAGAAGTTTATACTTCGGCATTGCATGGCGCACAGTCATCTCATACCTGCCTCATAACACAAACACAGTTTGCTGTACAGCAGCGATGTATCTGCCAGTGCAAGAACACGCTGGTTAAACTGTCAAAATCCCTGCTCCTTTCCTACGGAGTTGCCTCCGCCACCCTTCTGTGATGTTTCTTGCCATTTCCTGATAAATGACAGCCCGGCCTCTCTTCCTCGAGGCTTACTGTTGCATCCTACTACGCCTCCATCATTGTTCTCTCTATTTGCACTCTGGTTTTCTATGCCTTTCCTTTCTTTTTTTTACATTTGTTTTATGCTTTTGTCACTCCCTGCACATCCTGTCCGGGCCCTGCCTAATAGGTAAAGCCGCCTCCCATTCCCATGTTCCAGTACCTCAGTCTCCTGCGAACACCACTCCTTTTGTGAAGCTCTCTTCTGCCAACCTCCTTACCAAAAACATTTCCACACCTTCCTACGTGCCTATTGTTACCCTGCGCACTGAGCTGCTCTGAGTCAAGTGGCAGCCTGTCGGGGCAGACAGCCGGCGCACGCAGAGGTAGCAGAGTGAGCTGTAAATTAATTAGGTCAGGGAGGGAGCCAGCTCAGCCTGGCGGCAGGCACGGGCTGCAGGGGACAAGGGGTGCTCGGGCACCGGGTTCAGCTGGGTATGGCTGAGGAGCTCCTGGTGAAGGCTGAAAGGCAGCAGGGCCAGCTCTGCCAGGCAGAAAGTACAGACAATGCTGATGTTTGAGGTCAGCTGGATGGGCTTTTTAGGCTACAAGTTATATGGAGGGTGGTAGTCACTAGATGTAGGGATCTGGCTCCAAAAAAAAAACAACATGTTGGGCTCTTAGAAGGGGCTTGATAAATTTAAGAAGGGGATCACGCAACATGCTTGCCAAGGCAGGAGTGCCTAGGCTCATTAACCCACAGCTCCTTCCCAGTTCGGTGTCTTTATTTTCCAGGAAATAAAGGGTGAGTGGTGAAGGAGCTTGTTGGACTGGTATAATTTTCACAAGGTGGAAGGAGGAGGAGAGAGCAAAGCAGCTCCTGAGCTTCAGGGCTTTTTGGAGAAGGAAGTTCCAATCTTTTCTTCTCCTTTTTTGAAATCGTAATGGCCTGGGGCTTTCTGTCCCCTAGTATCCTGGAAAACAGTACGCACCAAACTCTGAACGAGTCCTCGGCTGCCAGATCTCTTCTGTTTCTAGGACTGCTGGCTGATGATGAGGAGCATGGAGGAGGTCCGTGGGGCAGTGTATCCAAGGAGTTATACTGGGCAGCCGCCCAGGCTGGCAGAACTGGAGGGGCAGCATTTCTGGGATGCTTTCTGCAGAGCTGCTGACTGGTCAGCACAGCTTACTATGCAAATGTGGGGGGAATAGCAACAAAATTGATTTTGCCAGAACCGCAAAATAATTAGGACAATTCCTGCCCTGCAGAAAAGGTATATAGGAGAAGTTAATTGCATCAGCAGAGGGCTGAAAACCTGCACACTAACTGTACTCAGAGCAGTGTGAGCAAGAAGAGGAGAGCTACGCCAGCCACGGGTGTCCTGAAAGAGCTCCTCTTATTTCTGCCACCCACCACCCAGAGCACCCATTTCTACCTCACCTCCACCCACCGAGAGCCCCAGGATGCTTTCTTGGGAAGAGGATCCTCTCTCGGGGACATCCATGGGCAGCTGTGAGGCCTCTCAGACTGCAGCACTGAAGAGGCTCCCGACCAGAAGAAATAGCCCAGAACACATGGGTTTAACAGAGTCTCGTGGAAGGCCTTGGTGGGGTCTCAACATCCCTCAGCAGGATCCAGCAAGAACAGGTGACTCCAGTGTATGTTTCTTCCCTTAACAAAAAGTTCCCACAGAGCAGTAATATCAAAAAATTGTGTCACAACACCATACAACATCTTCCGTCTTGCCCACTCTGGCAGCCCCTCCTTCAGTCCTAACATCTTCTCTGGTCCCATGCTGCTGCCACCCATGCCCAGCCAGGTGCCTGAGTGGCAGCAGCAGTCTCAGGGGACAAGGCCCCAGGCAAGTCAGGGTGACAACAGCACCAAGTGTGGGCTCTAGCACCTCTTGTTGCTTTGCCCTCATGGCCCAAAGCAGGACAAACAGTGCCCTGGCTGGAGCAGGCGGTTACTCGGTCACAAGTGATTTAAATCCTCACCCTGTCAGCAGCACCCAACACTGCTACCACAACCATGTCTGGGTCCTAAGGATGCTGCTACAATGCCCTTCACTCCTGTTCACAGCAACATATACCCAAACCATCATTAACCTGCTGCTCACCTGCCTTGCCCTATGGTGCCTAGGTGGCTTTGAAACTCACAGTGGCAAGGACCAAGCTGCAGGGGAGGTCACCCCCCAACACCAAGACCCTCCCCAGCAGAGCCAGCAGGAAACACCTTTGCAAATTCATGAAAGTGATTTCATGAACCGATCCCTGAAATACTGCAAGAGTTAATGAGCTAACACACAGATATATATATATATTTTTTTAAAATTTTTTTTTTATTTGCTTTAAGGGAAAACTCCTGGAATTTACTTCTAAAGTCCATTAATTACCTGAAATGCTGCTGACGTAGGAGCTGCACTCATGAAAACGGGAGAGAAAAACTGACGTCACGTCATGCCTTGGGCAGGTTGGATAGCTCAGTGTGGAGCGAGAGATAAAGGGAAAGGCTTTTCCAGCAATGAGATCTGTGCTGCCAGCTACATCGCAACACCCCACTGGGGTCCTCATTCCCCACTGGCAGCACCCAGCCCAAATGTCCTCCAGCAACCTGCCTCCACCAGTAGAGCTGCACCCCCGTGAGCATCTGCAAGCAGCTCCTCTTCTTCTCCTAGCCTCTGCTATAGGCTCTGAATAACCATTTCCCATGTGGGATGTCAGTCCTGCTGGGCTCTCACCTCTGGGGTCCCATACCCACATATGCACCCCTTGAGAAATGGTTAGTTTTCAGCTGACTATGCAGTCTTTGGTGCCTGATAACAATTTAAGATAAATAAATACATGACAGATTCTCTTCCTGATGTCTGTGGTTGAGAAATGTTTCTGACAAGTGCCATTCGTCTGGTAGTTATAGCTACAAATATATTTATATTTGACTTGCACTTGACTTAATACCACATGAACTGGTGAGAGTAGAAGGACATTGATCTTTGCTTTACTGCTTTGCTTCACAACAAAGGAGCAGGCTCAAGAGGTGGGTTCACCACAGAATATTCATGGATTGCAGTTTGGGCAGGAACAGTTTGTAAACATCAGAAGAAACAGCAAAAAAAAAAAATATTTGTGTTGCGAAACAGTAACATATGTCATTAAAAGAGAGTTTACTTTTCAGACACATACAGTGCTCCACATTGTTCCCAAGCTTTTCAAAAGGAAATGATTAGTGTTATTAGCACAGCAGTCCTCTTTTTCAAAAGTAGCTCTAGCCAAGGTTAATGTTTAAGAAGGAATTAAATATTAACTCAAGGGAAAGCACAGAAGTCGTAATGGTTTCAGACCATACATCAGACTCGCAAAGAAATTTTGCTGTGAAAGCAAAAAAGGGCAAGTTTGGTTCCCAAAGCTAAAAATCGTGGTCCTCCTGCCTCATCGCCATCATGGAAGGACAGCGCTGCCTCTCTGCCTTTCACCCCAGGGACAGGTAATTTTTCTCCTGCCTTTGGTTTAGCAATGACTCCTTAACAATAGAAGGTGGATCACAGTGACTTACCCTGCTGAGGAGGGCTGCAATTTGATTCCCAGCCTGAGATTTGCAGGTAAGATAAAGTGCAAAGGTGACTAAACACCACAACAAGCAAGGTCTAGCCCTGTGGCTTTGCCTGGAAGGGAAAACGGATTATTATTATAGCAGCAGATCTAGCAAGATCTGTTCCTTTTCTCCTGTTCCAGCTCCAGTACATGAAAATCTTTGCAGCTGTCTGAAGATGGTTTTATGGTGGCAAAATGACTTGTTGGATTAGTCCACAACATGTATTCTGCCCTGTTCTACAATAATCCCTTACTCTCTCTCCCATCTTCATGTTCTTGCTGCAAACTTATGAGCAGAGAACAAAGCCATGAATATTAACTAAATGCACCACTATAAATACACTTTTTTTTTCTTTTTTTTTTTTTACTGCATGTCGTGCTGAACTTCCAAAATCATACTCTCATTAATATGAATGCTTGGTCCTAGATTCTCAGCAGGGCTATATCAACACTATACTTTTCATCTTCAAAGCATTTTAAAGATATTAACTAATTAATTCACTCAACCCCTTTGGGGGAAGCCAATTATCATCATCACGCTGTTCTTACATTTTTACAGATAGAGAAACTGAGGCAGAAAAGCAACTTATTCAGTGCCCCAGAGGAAAGGAGTGTGAGAAAGTTGTCAGGACTTGCTGACCCCCTGTCCTAAACCCAAGTTACTACTGGAGCTCATCTGCACTTCATCACTTGTCACTGCAGTGAGTGTACCCTCCTTCCATGCTCATGTAATCTTAAGGCAACTCTTCAATTCTCTAGTAATAGTAAGAAAGAAAAGAAGGGGGAAGAAAGGGGAGAAAAACAGGGGGAAAAGGGCGGAAACAATGGAAAGAAAAAGAGAAAGGGAAAGAAAGAGAAACACCAAAATAAATTCATGAGGAAAGTGACAACTCGCTGAGGCCAACTCAGCCTCATGGGTTGTTTATTACAGCCTGAAAAAAGACTTGCACTTACTGGCTGTTATGTGAGCAAGCGAAGGAAAACTCCTCTTCTCCAGGAAAGCAAAGCAGTACAAAATGAAATCTCAATTCTGGAAGTATTTATTCCTGGGAATGGTGATGTATGTGGGCTGTCTGTGGTACTCCAAATGACTAGTAACGTGTACAAATAGAAATCCTACACATTCTGGTTTGGAGGATGAAACTTCCATGGTTTTTGGTTGCTTGCTAAATAAGTGCCTCTGTGAAACCCCGAATTCTTGAAAATCTCCTCTCAAAGGCCTATCCCTCTTTCACCAGTGGATCCACATCACATTTTTCAAGTCTCTTTTATCCCTCCTAAGTGAAATCAGCAAAATTCTATGGAACAGTTTCTGGCCTGCACTTCGTCTTCTGGAAACCAGTACAAACTGTATCCTGAGAGATGTAAAACTAACCTGGGCCTTAAAAAGCTAATTTTTAAGAGTGAAAGGCTAAATAAGAGATGTTCATAAGGAACAACCCATACATAGCTTGGAAAGATGAGTCTATGGACACCAGGTTACCTGGAAGTATCATTGCTCTGTCCATGACGATCACAATAATAACATCTAACAATTCAACTGAATTCTCAAAATCCAAACAGTAATTTACAGGTATTGGTGAAAAGGTCTCCAAGGTCTTATAGAAATGATATGTATTTCATAGTCTTTTTCTCTTGGCTTCATTTTGTCATGTTTTACAGCTGTTCATAACTATTGGTTAACCTGTGTTATTATGACAAGAATATGAAATTGCTAGCATTTTAATCCATTGCATCACTGTATCTTTTTAAAATACTTTCTGCTCTCAGTAAACTGATCCATCTGCCTTCAGATGATGTTATCATGGACTTTTTGCTCATTCGATAACTTTGAGCCATAAGCACAACTCCTCCCCTGCGCCTATCCCTTCTCACACGTCTGTCCGTGCTGAGCAGCTCAGTTCCCCAGCTCCTTCCAACCCCTGCCCACAAAGTGGCCGTATCTGGCTTGGCTTATCCTCTCTATCGTGTGGAGGATCTCATCTTCTTGTTCAGTTGCACAATTTCTTGCTGCAAGCTCTTTTTCACAGAAGGTGTCAGACATGCACACATCAGCCCGTTTTTCAGTACTGTACATTTTATTTGAAACACTTTGTGGTTAACTATCAGAAGTTTCCACGATACCTTCTCTTGTGGCTGATGGCTATTTTCTGCACAAATGGCTTCACTCCTTTGCTGCGTCCGGCCAGATCTGCAGCAAGACTGGCCGAGATAGGAGACCACAGATCTCTACAGCAGTACCAAGGGCAGCAGGGCCATCCCGACTGCTGCAGCCAAGCCTGCAGACAGGCACCCCAGGCTGCTGCTCCAGCCCCTGCCCTCTTCCGAGGGAAGCGCTGGGCTGAGGCAGGAGCAGGTACTTCCCCACCAACACTCTTCAGCAGCTCCTTGCAGAAAGTACAAAGTTGTCCAGTTCAGAGGCAGCATTTCCATTACAAATGTTCATAGGGCTTAACTTTAAATTTTCCTTGGGTGCTTACATCTCTGGTAGTCACTATGTTTGTGTTGCTCTCTCCACATAGGCCAGCATAACAGTATAGTGGGCAGAGACAGCTGTCAAAAGAGAAACATACAAATATTTAATAGTCTCAGGAATCGAATGGTTCAACATACCTATACCCAAAACTTAGATTTCTCACAAAATATCTTTACTGCTAAATACCCCTTTTCACTGTGAGCACTGGCTGAAGAACTCATGCTGCTGGGGTCAGGACATTTTAAGGTGGAAACAGCATCCCACACGTGGCACTGCAAACAGCCACTGCTTTATCTCTGGTTCTGCTAAGGAGTTACTTCCCTGGCCTTCCCAACAGGTTGATAAGCCTGAGATCTTAATTTGAGACAGCTTCCACTCTTGTCTGTGTGAGAATACCATCAGTACCAAACCCCATACGTTACTAGATGTTATTGGCAGCACTTTGACTTTGATCTCAAATGCCATCCTCAACCATCTCTGTTTACTTGCTGATGCCCAGAATGTGGCAAGGTAGGTGTTTTCCTCATCCACTTGCCAGTACCCTCAGCATTCAGTGCCAAAGATAACTGCTTTTCATTTTTGCCACTGAAGAGACTGGTTCCTCAATTGCAGACACTTCGTAGCGAGCTCCGAGGTGCTCAGCTTTGCACATCACAGCTTGGCTGGCTTCTCCATGATGACCACATGCTGATTCCCTTCATAGTCCTTTCAACTGGCAGCAGTACCTTTTCTTCTCTCTATTTCTCTTTAGTTCACGTTTTTTTTCCCCCTCTTTAAGCAGCAATTACTCAGTGGGGCAAGTGCTATAGCAGCCAAATTCTTTAATCTTTTTCCAGGTGCAGGGTGCCTGGAAGAAATCTCAGACCTTCAAAAACATTTTGATAATCTTTCAGCAGTTTTGCTGTAGGGATACCACAATATATGTCTGTTCAGACTGGATTTCTGGAGTACCTAGTGTCTCTATAACATGAAACACTTGTCTGTCCCATTCTGAGTATCACTAGGTTTCTGCATGTACTCAGTATTGACTGCAAGCAGTGACTTTGTCAGTATGAATTTTGTCAGTGACTAATTTTTGTCAGTGACTTAGTCAGTACTAATTCCACTTTCATCTGGTAAAAGCTCCTCTTGGTGCTTTCCCTGTGTTTTATGCTGGCATAGTGGAATGAGGACAATCCATTATAAATATTTTAATATTTGCAGTGCTTGATTGCATTTTCACATTCCTTCCCTTTAATAATGATTGCAATGCCTTTACTGATAACTCACCATCTATGTGGCATAGTTTCCTGTTTGCATGCAGCTGTCCTGGGCTGGTGTTGGACTGAGGTTTACAACCGCTTCACGCTATTATTCCGGAGTTAAAGCACTGTTTTGTATGTACATTAACATGTTTCCTTTTTTGTTTGCTCGCATATGCTAACAAACTTTCCAGTAATGATACTGTCTGCCACAATCGATGTAGGCCACGGTGTACTCAGAGCATTATTTAATACTCGCAGCATTGGTCCAAGGGGTCATGTAGGCAACTGAAAGCTACCTTAGCAGTTCTCCAAGCACCAAACTACCTAACCTGGTGCACTTCAGAGACGGTCTGATGGAGAAATAATTCTAATGCTGAGACTGCTAAATGCTTTTTTTCCCAAAAAAAATCTGCTTTGACAAGGCTCTCTGTATAATCTTTTACTGTACCAAACCATATTGGAGCACCAGAAAGAGATGGAAGACAAAAAGATATAACCCACTGGAAAAAAATATTAATAGGCCCTTTTGGTGGTAATACAGAATGTCTTCTCTGCCTTGGCAGTTCTATATGTAAAGGCCATAATCTGGCTGTGAAATACTATTTTACTTCCTGCATGCATGCACAAGACCATGTGAGAGAGGCAGCTGTGCATGTCTATCCTGAGCCTGGTCTGGAAAACCAGTAGCATCTTCACGGAGCCATCCTCAGAACCGCAGCATTTCTATATTCCTGTTTCAATTAATCTAACGGCAGATCTGTTTATCTGCCTTGAGTAGATAAGGAAGTGAAACCATTTGAGTAGAAAATGACCATAAACCACAAGAGAACATATTGTAAGAGTTATTGATAGCAACCCCAAAACTCCTTTCAGAGTGTGTTACAAAAGCTATGCACATACATACACAGCCACACATTGGAGTTCAATGGGACTTTCTACCTGTGCTAGTAGAAGTAACAGACAAAAAGGAAGAGACATGCGAAGTTCAAAGTCTACGCTATCTGATAAGGCCTGTCAGAACTAAAACCAGGAGGCACTGCCAGAATTAAATTATTTCCTCAGGACAAGTCATGCATTCAGAATCAAGCAACATGGGTTGAACAGATAAAGCCCGTTTGTGTAGCATAATAGTGGATGGGCATACAGTTCACCAAAATAGTAAATATATACACTCTCTACAAACACGGGGCAAAACCACAGACACGGCAGACAACATAACATCCTCTCTGCTGAGACTTGAACAGCAACAAAGAAAAAAGCCAAAAAGCAACTGGCTGATAGATATGCATATATCCTCCGAAAACTCTGCACCTCTAAAAGAAAGGAGTTAAAGCTGTCTACCCCTCTTGCAAAGAGGGATTACGCTTGCTCCAACATGAAATCACCTTCAAAGACTACCCAAGAATTTCTGTAATACCAAGGCATGAAAAAATAACATACAGCCCTCCCTAACTAGAAAAACTTTTTTTTACAGGTAAATGAGAGTTAGTCAAAACAAACAAACAATTCAAGCAGAGACAGAATAAGTGTCATATGTGTGAAGAGACAAATTTTAAGGGACTATCATATTTTATATGCAAACAGACTTCACTAATTATGCTGAATTTTCCTATCTTGATTGAGACGAAAGGGGTGTTGTAATAGACATCCCTGCAGGAGGGCTTTATGAACAAACAGGGCTGCATGTAGGAACTTGGAGCTCTCACATTTCAGAAAATCCCTGATAAGAACAGGAGCCTTCCTGGGTGAACTGTCTCAGTTCTTGCCCCCTTATTCACAAGCATGGAGCAGTTACAAGGATAGTGCTACCAACCCTACAACCCGACCAAACAGCTCTCACAGACAGTTGCAATTATTAACTTAATCAGACTAACATATATTTTCCTGTGATAGGTGCTGGATCTCTTATTTTCTTCAAACATATAGCTACTGCCTTTCCCAGCTACATGCTTATTGGAGAAACAGTACAACAAGGGGAAAGGAGAAGGATTTACAGGTATTTGTCCAAAAAAACCCTGCAAATTCATGGTGCTGAAGGTTCCTTTTCATGAGCTTACTGCAAACATTCACAGCAATTTAGTTCCATCTTCAAGAAGGTTCCGCAAACACGGATAAAACTGCAGGTTCTTGTGCAAACATATATCCATTAATGAAGATATGCTAAAAGACTGGCACAAGTATTTGCATTGAGAGCATTTGCAGAGCTAATGTAAAAGCTTCTTGTGGTTTGGGAATTCCCAAGGCAGGCACCAAAAAATGAAAAATATATAACAAAAAAAAGTACAGCACAGTGTGAGCAACCAATGGAGCTAAAGCAAATAGCAAATATTCAAATCATGTGCAAGTATACTCCAGACTCAGCTATGCTCCCTTTAACCGTTCACTGAACAAGATGAAAAGTTGGTTAGAAAAAAAATAATAATAGTAAATCAAAGAATGTCTGCATGGTATTTGTAAACAGAAAGGATATATCTGCCAAATGCATTTTTGCTGCAGTTAGCTCACTATTCCTCACAGATTCCTCACACTTCTACCTACAAGAGCCTCTGCTTGTTCTTTGCTTGGTTCCGCGGAGGAAAGGAGCACCAGGTTCAGGGAGTGAGGCTGGTACGCAGAGACAAACCTGTGCAGAAGGGCGCTGCAGAGATGGCCTTCAGCACCTCACAGTACACAAACACCGGAGAGCTTTTGTTGACTTTTCTCAAAATGCCCCTGTAAAACATGCAACCAACAGGGGAAAAAAAAAAAAAAGAGTGAAGGACAGGCAGAACAGATCATTGCTGCCCGCAGAGACCTTGGCAAGCATACTGCAAGACCAGGCACCCCTTTGTCCTCAGCACTGGGGAGCCACACACACTGTCGGCAGAGCAGTCAGCTTTGCAAACGCTCACCCCAGGTCTGCCATGGTGGCCAGTTCCCCTCCTGACTGCAGCTCTAGCCTTGCTCTCTTCTTCCTCCCTCCTCCTCCCAAACCAGGGGACCAGGGATGATTTAACGCAGGGCATTCCTGGTCAGCCGGAGAGGAGAGGAGAGGAGAGGAGAGGAGAGGAGAGGAGAGGAGAGGAGAGGAGAGGAGAGGAGAGGAGAGGAGAGGAGAGGAGAGGAGAGGAGAGGAGAGGAGAGGAGAGGAGAGGAGAGGAGAGGAGAGGAGAGGAGAGAATAGTTTCCACCCAGGCCTACCACTGAAGCCAACACATTGTGCAACCTCATCCTGAAAGGTTAGGGCAGCTCGGGATTCCTGGAGAAGTCATCTTTCGCTGCCAAGACATGCTTGTAGGAGGGACAGGGAATGAACTTTTGTCCTGCGTCTTGTGGACACATGAGGCTTGCTAAAACTGTCACCTGCTTATGACCTGCTGTCAGTAGTAGTTTCCGTAACAGAAGCAGCCACTTTTACTAACTGTTCAAAAGTAAAGTCAGGGCCAAAACAATCATAATATAACTTGAAATATTTTTCTGTTTAAAGATATTAAAAAAAAAAAAAAAAGAACCAACGACTCTGTGTTTTTATTTGCCTTTAGATTAAACCAAAAGCTGGCCACATTTGTTTAACCTCAGGCTTTGGTGGACTGACATGCCTGAACAGCCCTTCACAGTGTCAAGGCTGCAGATGCTGAGGTAACAGGAGAAGAGCAGAAAGTTGTAGCCCGTTGCTAAGAAAAGGCAGTCTCTGAGTCCCAGCCATGACTACTGCAGATATCCAATGTGGAGGAGAAGCTCCAGTGAAGGAGAGGACAGCTGGGCTTGTGCTGGCATCTTCAACAGCATTTGTAAATGCAGGGAGAAAAAGGGTGTTGGGGAAAGACGGAGACGAAGGGGTTACCACAGGGAAAGAACTAGGGGAAATTTCAGGGTATGCTTTAGCTGGCAAAGAAAGAAACGTATACACACACTGCTATTCACATACAGTGACCTACCCAGTCACACACACAGACAGAGTGAGTTACAAATTGCAAGAATTTAAAACAGTGGTCAAAAAAACACAATTTGCTCATAATCCTTAGCAACAATTACATCCCCTTCCCCACATGTCCAATAGTGGAAGTATTTGCAATAACCGAGCCCAACACTGATACCCAGCACAGAGCCATGACACAAGAATAACGGGCTTGGGATGGAGCTGTGTGTCCTGCAGCAGTTACCATCCCTGGTCCCTCCCTGTTCTTTAAAATTTCTGGCTTGTGCCCAGCCAGCAAGGTCAGTCCAGAGGCAGTCAAGCAGGACAAGGTTAATGACACCAATTGCTGGTGTTGAAACAGCACCAGGAGAAACTATTTTAGAAGAAAATGCAGGTGGGAGAGAAAAGGAGTTCATCTGAAGGAGCCCCTCGTCCCATGGAAATGAATACACACACCCTTCCTGGTTGGGTCAGCTAACTCAAATATCCTGCTCCTACTGAACTAAAACTTGTAAATATTTAAGCCAGATGGGACACCATACATATATATGTATGTTGTTTTTTTCCTCCCCAGCCCTCTGACCATGTGTGTTGATGCACCCCTGCCCCAGTTGCACAGAGAGCAGGTAACGCTCTCCTAGATATCTGCCAAAAAAAGGAACCAGCTCTGTTTACTGTTACCTGAGCTTGGGCTTTCTCAGCTAAACAGACAACTGGCTTCCCTGCTTCCCTTCATGCTTTAACTGTATTTGATTTCACCACTTACAAAAATGTTTACATTCTGGAGGGGCGGGGGGAGAGAAGAAAATCAAAACTCATTAGACACATTTAAGTAGCAACATCTGTCCCCAGCAAGCGCAGCCCATCCACTTGGAAGCTCACGGGAGGGCAGCCCGGCTGTAGTGGAGCAGGAGGCTGAAGGATTGCACCCAAAGAGCTGTACACAAACTACAAATGACTCCAGTGTGCCGGGCTCCCGGGGCTGCAGCTGCGTTTGCTGCCCCGGCTTGCGCATGCCCCGCGCCCTGCCAGCAGCTCCCCCACGCTCAGCAGTCATCGCCAGCACCCAGGGATGCGCACTGACGATGATTCACTTATAAAGCCAAAAGCATCGCACAATTAAACAAACAAGCCCATTTAACTAGTCATTAAAATGCATGCTTGTGAAACAGGACTCAGGCAGAATTAGCACCAACCTGAATGCTCAGCCCGGCCATGCTGCGCCGTCCTGATTCCTCTCGCACGCCGCCTCCTTGCCCCAGGTTTTGGCTCTCTGGAAGATGCCCATGCTGGTTACGAGCAAGCTCACCAAGCCAGCCACGTCCTGTCTGCATCACAAAACCAAACCAGACCTGAAAAGGGTTAAGGGGACAAGTAAATTCTTCTGCCACTATTAAAATACCAGCAATCTTTATACAGCTTCAGGCCACAGCTACAATGGGAAAAGAGCTTTATTCTTACCAGTCTGTGTTTTATAAGCAGCACAGTTTTGAATACATATTACACCTTTTTATCAGAGGGGACAAATCACATTCAAAGAAGCTTTTTAAAACGCGTATGTATACCCACATTGTTTTAAATACTGTTTTAGATAGGCTGAACTTTTTTAACCCACATTAATTAAAGCATGCCAGCTGACATATGTAAAAAATGCTCTGTTTTCATGGTCTAAACATAACCCGAAGCAGAACATGTCTTTAATATGCTTTCTGATGGTGGTTAAGCCCTGGCTGAGATCAAATCTGTAGGAGACAAAAGATTGTTCCAGGAACTTGGGGAAACTTCTGTCCTACAACCAAAGCTGTTCATTGAAGCAGAGTAGGTGGGTCGCCGCGTTTGGGGTTTGCTCTTTCTTTCTCTTATAACAATGCTGCAGTTACAAAGGTGGCTCAGCAGGTTCTCCTAATATCACAACCCATTCCCACTACCCACCCACCTTTTTAGCAAGCTTTTCATATGCTAAGTGACAGCAAATCAGATACAATCATCCTATCGGTGTTTCTCAGCATCTCCCTATATGACAGGCAGCCTCATAAAATATTGTCCTTGTGAGTGGCACGAATGCTTGGCTCAGCAGACTGTGCTACCAGACTCTTATTATTTTTTTTATTATTATTTCTAAAATACTTTTGCCTCCCTTCCAGAGACCTCAATCTGTGACGGACCGATGTGCATTTTTCACGCTTATTTTTCATGCTAATTTGCAGACAGGTCAGCAGCAGCTGCTCATACAAAGGTCATTTCCCCGCCTGTGGCCCAGTCTCCTGGGCAATGAAGACGTGTGTTTGTGTCTCCAGGTAGCTGCTAAACCTGCGTCTCTTCATGTGCTCTGATTCATGCAGGGAAAGGGCTTACCCTGCAACTTCTGCAGTAGCTCCCCAGGTTTCCCTCCCACACCTAGACCGGAGATTTTCACCCTTCCTGCCAGGACAGCCCAGCTGCTCACCAAGAGCAGTTCATCAGCCACAGCTGACAGCCCAGCACATGACAGCAAACCAGTGCGTGCAAGGGTGCAGTGTCAGTCCTCACCCTGAGCTAACCTGTCCCCATTTCTGCACCAAATGTCTCCAGTGGGTTCTGCTTCTTCCAGGAGGGTGCCTACAAAGGGTTACTGCAGCTAAAAGCTCTGACTTGGATGATAGAAATACCACACTTGCAAAACACCATACCTACATTATTTTGAGTAAGGAGTCAGGACACAAATCTCCCTTGAATCAGGTCACCTGGACATTTAGACCTCTGTAGGCAGGAGGTTTTATGTGCCATGGAAGCGATACAACAGCGTATGAATACTCAGTCTTTGCTGACCCCAGGCAGTTCGCCAAAATTGTTTCCACTAAGTGGAAAAATTGATGACAGCCTGTTCTCTCATTGATGCAATGTTTCTGTACAAAAAAAAAAAAATCATAATTCAAAGTCCTACTTTTTTCAAACAGAGAAAGACTCGACAAGAGATTGTTGCTTCGCCAAGCTTCAAGCCCTGTGCAGTGAGAACTTAACCCCAAAACCTCTCTCATTCCCTGCTGCTCTGTTTAAACAGGCTTTGGTAGCTATGTCTGGCTGGCATTTATTGTTTCCCTCTGGCTCAGTTTCCCCAAGCAAAGCCCCATACAGCGTCTCCCCCTTTCTGCTCAGTGAATGGTGGCTGTTACTCCTGTTAGCTTCAACTGGGCGAGAGCCCTGCCTGCAAAAGCAGGGTGCTTTTCATGCTGCCTTCCCATTCTGGCCTGCAGGATTTGCCTGTCCCCTTCATCCCTGCTGTAAGGAAGCACAGAGTTTTCAAGCAATGCTCTGGGATGGTCACCGCTGTCCAGAAGTCACACTGTGATGTTAAAATATACAAATGCAAGCAATGTGGGTGGATCATCCCTGTGAGCTCCCTTCAAGCTTTGAAGAACCCAAGCGTGGAGCAGAAAGAAGCCCCTTCCACAGCCCCTTCCTACACCATGGGAAGGGGCTGTGGCCAGTGGGTACCGTCCTCCTCTCCATTTTCAAAGGGCAACCCGAGATCAAGAAAGTTAGAGGAAAAGCTCACGTTTTTCCTTCTGTAACCAGTGACAGACCTAGCTGGCCACCACACTGGGCTGAGCTCTCACCGACACAGCCCAACGATGGGGGTTACGTCCTCGCAGTGCAGGGCTCGTGGCAGATCCTGCCCAAGCGCTCGGCGTGCTGTGGGTACGGCACTGCAGGATTTTCTTGCCTTTCTTCCTAGGCTTTTCCCGTCAGGTTACTCTTGCTCAACTACCTTCTCCTTGTAGCTGACTTGCACAACCTAACTATATTTTTTCCCTGTGGGGGAAAAGGCAACATTTCTATTTAAAAAAGAAGTCGAACTACACAGACTAACACAGGCATTCTGAAAAAGAGCAAAAGCGAAGCAAAATTTGAAATTCCCAGCCAATCAAAATTTCAAAATAGAGTGAATAATATCAAAGACAGAACTGAAGTAATTTCAAACCTTCAAAGGCTGACTGTAATGGTATGGAAATGGTTTTCAATCTCTCGTTCCAAATAAGGCTTATTTGAAATTAACACCTTTTTGTGAAGCGCTCGATGAATCAGCATTTTCCAGTGGAAAACCTTCCATCCAAAGATTTCCAACTCGTCCTACGGCTTTACTGAGCTTGACTTTCTTGCCTTTCCTGTACTATGTTTATTTTACCGTCCTTACATCATGTTTTGTCTCATTCTCGCAGTCGTCCTTTCTGTTTCTTCCCAGCTTGACAGGCCCAATTTTAATTTTAATATTTAAATAATGCTAATAAAACTCGATATAAAAGCAAAAGGCTACTAGAAGAAACGAACGGCTAGGCACAGGGCTCAGCACATTCCCCAGTCACATGGGTGTAAATCCCATAAGAGAAGAATGGCTACAACTGTCCCAATTAAGCCACTCACACTCTGCTGCTGAGTGAAGATGCATCTTGATTATTTTTACAAAAGAGCCCTTCCACTCAAGTAATTTTATATATTGATCACAGGAACTGAAGAGTACTTTTATTTATATTAGAATGAGAACCAGCTAGAATACTGGTTGGTAGTGTACAGCTGTTGTACAAATCACATTGTAGGCAGACTGAGGCACTACTGTATGCTCAGGGAAGGAAGAGAAAGGGGAAAAGTGAAGCAGGAAGGGCTGAAAGAGGATCGATGGCAATCTAGAGAAAGAATTAAGTCTTGCGTATGTCAGGCCTGCACCTTCTTCACATAACTATGAATGTTCTGGTTCATCCGCCTGCATACAGATGAGCTTCTGCTTCTTCCCAAGATCCTGCTGAGACCTTGAGGTGCCTGACTCCTTGTGGCAGTAAGATCCCCAGCATCATTACCTGTTGTAACTTACAATTAATGGTAGCCAGCCCTGAGCAAGCTCAGGTCAAATTCGGCTCTGCCACATGTTAGTAAGTAAGCAGTATTAGGCACAAGCAAGGGAGAACGACAACCCTGGAGACTGCTTTCTTCAAAAGCACTGCCACCGAGGCTGTAAAAGGAATTTCTGTGGCAGACAGAATAGAGCAATTGCCCGTATAACAATCACGCTGCAAGATTTTTGGCCTGATACGTAAAATGAGACAATGGCAATCTGATCTCTGTCTTACAGAAGTCCTGATCTAGATGCGTGATTTCACAAGCTGCTTTACGGTGGCGGTTCCCTGAGCTTTACAGAGTCCCACTAAAGACAACAGATCTTCGTAATTCACCTAGAGCCCACAGAGGGAAGCACAGCCCAGCGGCATGGTGGCCTTCGGCCAAAGGATGCATTTCTAGTAAAAGCCTGCAGCCATCCATCTTCTGCCCAGTCTGATACCCGGATTAGCCATCCAAAGGAACACGTGCATACCAAATAACTGCAGGGAACAACTGAAAGTGGCAAACACATGGTAAGTAGTAACCAAGACTCTTCTGGCTTGTTCTCTAATGTTAAATTAATGTTAAATTAATTTGAGTAATATGCTGCTAAAGTAGTCTTACCTTTAGGAATGCTGTAAAAAGTGAGTTCCCTTGTGTATCCAGACCTAATGGGACCATTATTGGCCAAGTCTGGAGATCTGGAGAGGCTTGACATTGATAGATGTAAGAAGATCAGCACAGTACATCAACATAAAAGCTAAATATGTTTTACAGCTTTTTGTTTTCTAACCAGCAGGGAATGTGAATTCTCACAGAGATCATATAGATCTGTAACTCGTCAGCAAAAGACAGCCTCTGGAAGCTGAAAGAAGAATACGCAGACCAGAAGAGATCAGCAAGCTCTTGAGCAGAGGGGTAAAAAAGTATCACTAGAATAACAGCTTGGATTGGCATAGCACTCCATCACCTGAGCTTCCTTACCACAGCTGATGTCTTTATAATCACCAAAAGCATCACCCTCCTCTCCCAGAAACAGCCAAGTTCCTCCAGCCCGCGTAACGGAGCAGCTCACAGCAGGACGTGGCTACGGCCCATCGTACCCCTCTTATGACACAAGTGACAAATGTTCCAAGCAGGAATCCATCAGGATATCCATGCTAGCATTCCTAGTGGTCTGGTCCTTGCCAGAGGCTCTTTAATGAATGCTAGTTTTCACTATTTAAATCTGATGTTTCAGTCAAAAAGTAAAAGGAAAAAAAAAAAGGCAAAAAAACAGCATTTTTCAAAAGCAAGAAGTGAAAAACGCCAGCTGATGAGTATTAAATACGGTCAGAACAGCTTTCCAAAAGTCTGTTTTGATAAAACCACAATTTCTTCTTAAAATTCAATTAATGCTAGGGAAAGTCCCACAGGAAAAAGTATTTAAAATTTAATTGAGGAAACTTAAGAAATGTCATTTAAAATCCCATTATATGACCTTTTATGTTTCTCACCATTA